TTTTTAGAATGTTTTCTTGTTTCCTTTTATGTCCCTAGCTAGTTTGATCTCGTTTTGTGGCTTGGCTTTTTAAATTTTGTCCCTACATACTTGTGTTATTTGTTTATATTCATCCTTTATAATTTGACCGAGTTTCCACTTTTTGTAGGACTCTTTTTTGAGTTTTAGATCATTGAAGATCTCCTGGTTAAGCCAGCGTGGTCTCTTGCCATACTTCCTATCTTTCCTACGCAGTGGGATAGTTTGCTCTTGTGCCCTTAATAATGTCTCTTTGGAAAACTGCCAACTGTCTTCAATTGTTTTTCCCCTTAGATTTGCTTCCCAAGGGATTTTACCTACCAACTCCCTGAGTTTACTAAAGTCTGCCTTCTTGAAATCCATTGTCTTTATTGTGTTGTTCTCCCTCCTACCATTCCTTAGAATCATGAACTCTACCATTTCATGATCACTTTCACCCAAGTTGCCTTCCACTTTCAAATTCTCAACCAGTTCCTCCCTATTTGTCAAAATCAAATCTAGAACAGCCTCCCCCCAGTAGCTTTTTCCACCTTCTGAAATAAAAAATTGTCTCCAATACATTCCAAGAACTTGTTGGATAATCTGTGCCCTGATGTGTTATTTACCCAACAGATGTCTGGGTAGTTTAAGTCTCCCATCACCACCAAGTCCTGTGCTTTGGATGATTTTGTTAGTTGTTTAAAAAATGCCTCATCCACCTCTTCTTCATGGTTTGGTGCTCTGTAGTAGACCCCTACCGTGACATCTCCCTTGTTTTTTATCCCTTTTATTCTTACCCAGAGACTTTCAACAAGTCTGTCTCTTATTTCTATCTCAAGCTCAGTCCAAGTGTATACATTTTTAATATATAAAGCAACACCTCCTCTCTTTGTATGTCTCTGTAATTGGATGGCCCATCAACCACGATTGAAGCCTTAGAACTTTAGATGAGAAGGTTAACTTCAAAGCATGGGTCATTGTCTAGGACAATGGGAGATCCGCAAACTTTCTCTGTGTTGAGTCAACAAAACAAGAGCCCATGCTGTGCTAGGAACACCTGCCAAACTATTTTAGGCTTATCTTCTGTGGGCAGCCTCTATAAAATACTGGATCTTGGAAATGATCCTTTAGATCTCTGATCTATTTCAGTGCTGTCAGAGGGTGTCCCAGATACAGAGTAGCGGTCCCCAAAGACATTTTGGGCAGTCCTGAGACATTTATGGAGAACTAAGCAGAAACCCATCTCTGCTATCATTTAGGACTTACAAACTTTGACTCACCTGTTATGTACATTACCTGCTTTAACCTTTCAGTAATTCTCATTTCTTTTTCTTAACAAATTTCTTTAGTAAACTAAAAATGTATTAGCTATCAGTGTTGTTTTTGGTGTGTGATCCAAAGCATCCATTGACCTGGGGTAAGTGACCGATCCGTTGGGGTTGGAAGAACCTAATGTGTGGTGATTTCAGTTTTAATAACCTTTCATCAGAAAGTCCAGTTTGTCTGGGTGGTAAAAAGGGGCTGGAGAGCTTAAGGGGATTGTCTGTGGCTTCATGGTTGGACTAATACATAGTCCAGGAGTGCATGTTTATTACTGGTTTGATGAAATCTAATTACAGAATATACCAGCAGTTTGGGGTGTCTGCCCTGTTTTCCGACAGTCTGATCTGAGATTGGCTCTCTCAGTTGCAGCTACATACCAGCTACTATGACAGTTGTCATCTGTGATTAATGTATTCTTGGTCTCAAAATTTCCACTGTTGTTTCTTTTGTAGTCTCTTTCTTGTTCAACACAGTCTGTTCTGTTAAAACTGTTGAGACCTCTGGTATTTTGGTATGGAATCTCCTAACAAAGGGTAGCTCTGCTGGGTTTTTCTCAATGATCATATAGGATGTATTATGATATGCCAAAAATTGTGAGAATTCATTTTTTGGATCCTTTTCTAAGCACTATTCTAAGTACTTTGCAAAGTATTTTGACATTCGCCCTTCCTATTGGCTTGCAAAATACTATTATCCAGTAACAAATGCAAAATACTATTATCCAGTAACAAATACCAAAATTCCTTGGACAAAAATTGAGAATCATTGTCACTGAAAAAGAGTTTAGATATCCCATATGTTTCCACTATGTTCTCAAGACTATTAAGAATGGTGATGGTGTAACCTTTTCACTATGGACACTTCCTGCCACTGTGAACAATAATCAACAAGAACCAACAAATGGCCCACCATGGCAACAGGGTATTAATGATATATCTGTATCGGATATAAGTTTTGGCCTTGGCCAAAGGCCCAGTAATTGACAGGATGGACATGCAGCAGACGTGGGTTCTGCTTCTGTGTCTACACCCGGCCATCAACATTCTCCAACATCCACACAGCACCGGTAGCTCTTCATGTCCTAATTTTCAATGTCTGCAAAGATCTTTGGGTACCACTATACAAGTTCACTTTAATGACTCCTTATTGTGTCTAAGGTGGATAATGTCTGGATCTCTTTCAGAAGCTGCCTCTACCCCTTAAGGAGGAAAAATGTGGGGAACAACAGTGTAAACTATAAAATAGACATATTCTGCTGCCGGATTACAAATCTTATATGCTCTAGGAGATAGCCTTGATAATGCATCAGCTGCACTGATGCATATACTTTGTTGGAATAAAATTTTGAATCAATATTGTAACAGCCTTAATTCCCATCTGTCACTTCTGGCAAAGGATTTTGATTTTGGTAGAATGTAATCTTGAGTGATTTACTATCTGTAATAAAACCAAATACAGTCTCATAGAGACATATTTGTCCACACACCCACACAACAGCTAAAACCTTTTTCTCTGTTTGGGAGTATCAGAACTCTGAATTTGAAAGTACCTTGCTTGTATAATATACAGGCTTTTAAGTACTGTCCTCCTAATCTTGGCCCAATATAGCCCCTAAACGTACTGAACTTTCCCTTTACTTTTGGCTGCAGGATTATAATATGCTAGCATGATGGCACTGGTAAACTACATCTTTTATCTCATGAAAGGCTGATACTTCTCTGTTGTCCCAGAAGCATGCCATTCTCTTGTAGATCAATCATCTAAGGGCAGGTCTACACTGTGGGGTTAAGTCGACCTAAGTTACGCAACTCCAGCTACATGAAAAACATAGCTGGAGTCAACGTACCTTAGGTCAATTTATAGCAGTGTCTACACCGCGCTGGATCGATGGAAGAAACTCTCCCTTCAACTTACCTTATGCTTCTCATTCCAGTGGAGTACTGGAGTCGACGGGAGAGCAATCAGCAGTCAATTTAGCAGGTCTTCACTAGACCCGTTTAATCAACCCCTGGTGGATCGATCGCCTCAGCGTCAATCTTCAGTAAATGGAGACAAGCCCTGAATCAGGGATGGGCAACTGGTCAAGCTTTCCAGTTTATTATATTTGGCCTACTAACCAGGGCATGAAATCCTCTCCCTCATTCAGTGCACTGAAGGATAGAACTGCTCTGGGGATGAATCAGGGTCGTATAGTAAAGGACACTTTGTCTATAGGACCCTTCCTCGTTTGTTGCAGGAGTTGGAAGGTCTGTAGTGAATGAGACAGGGAACTGCAGGAAGAGAAAGGACAGTCTCATGGTTAAGGCAGTTGAATGCTGCCCTGAAGAATTGGACTCTATCTCTGCCACAAAGTTCCTATGTGACTCTGGGCAAGTCACTTAATCCAAACTTTTCACAGGTGGCCACTAACTGTGTGTTCCTCATTTTCAGGGTGCCCAGCTTGATATCTTGAGGTCTGATTTGCAGATGTGCTGAGCATTCAAAGCTACAACTGAAGTCAGTGGGAGCTGTCCTTTGAACATAGAAAGGTCTGTATAATAAGTCCTCTGAAGAATCAGGTCCTGTTCATCTCAAATTGGACGCCCAAAATTAGTGGAAACTTTTGGCCTAATCACTCTGTGCCTCAGTTTCCTATCTGTAAAATGGGGATGATGCCATCCCTTCAACTCACACAGTTGTTGTGAAAATAATTTAATTTAATATGTGTGAAGCACTCTGATTCTACAATGATAAGTGCATACGGAAAGCCCATGAAGAAATGAATAATTCTGTCATCAGAACAGGGTTTAATATTGTGAAGTAAATATAGCCAGGGGCCACACATTAAAAAATTAGGAGAAAACAAAATATCAAATAGCTGCTCATTAAGTGAGCACTGTCCGTCCTTGCACTGAATGAGGCAGGGGTCCTGTGGGAAAAATAGGATGCGATCATGTATTTAAAGACAATATCATAATGCATATGCACAAGGGGTGGGTGAATTAAGGTAGCACAGACCATCTTAATTATGGCATTTCTTAACTTTTGAGTGGTTGACTTTGCAGCTTTAATGTTTAAACATTTAATGTTCCTAATGTTTTTGTGCATGATTTCTAAAAATATATCCTGAAGCCTTTCACTATTAATCTCTCTCTACATCTCTGTTTCCTATCAGTTGATCATGAAGGAAGTGGCAATGTCTTGTTTAAAAACTGGTTATTTATTTGTTTTAATAGTTGTTTATTTACTATGCCAACTTTTTCAGATAATCCGCTTAGGTTAGAGACGTGTGACTTTCCCTTTGTAAAAGCCATCTTGGTTTGACTCCATCAGGTTAAACAGCTTCTATTATTTTGCATATAAGTGATCATGAATGAAGACTAGTGTCATAGATGTATTTTTTTAACGTTAAAAATAACAAGCACATGAACATTTAAAAATTGTGGGCATGATTCTTGTTTATATTAAGGCTACTTTATATGCTCTAGTATGAAAAGGGATCCAAAAGGAAGGGTAAATCTAACTTTAAGGCCCTTTACAGCACAAAGACAGTATAAAGGGGACTTAATACAAAGGAGAAATCAGACCCTTTGTCATTTGCAAAAGCCCTGTCTGAGGCATTTACACAGTTTTCAGAAAGCTACAACAGGGAGTCCTACATCAATTGTTTGAAAGAGAAGGAAATAGTCTGAGGGGTCTCATAGCATTGTAAACTAGGAAGGCTTTATTGACTTATCTTCCAACTAATTTGAACCTATGGATAAGCATTGCTGCTCAGTAACATTGGTTCCTGCAATAGCAATCCTCTATCTTTTCAAAGTCTCACTGCCACCACTGTATATAGCATTTTAAAGCAAATATTACAAATAAAACTTGTCAAATAATGATATTGGAGATGCATGAGTGAATCCTTAGATGAATAAATTATAGTAAATATTACATTATAATACAGTGGGACTTGGCTCAAAAAGAAACTTTCTCCCAGGGTGCATTGGCAGGATATCTAAGGTTTGTTGTCTTCCTAGGAATTATGACTTAGGAGCAGGTGGACATATCTCATATGATCATTGTCCCATGATTTGAGGGGTAGGAAAGAGCATTCTTGGAACATGGACCTCATAATATTCAGTCTATGGGAACTGTTGGGTGTATAAAACAAACAGGAATGCAGACACATGCAGTAAAAAGACACAAAGACAATCCTGCATGCAGCAAGGGTTAAAGTGTATTTCAAAATTCCTCCCCGTCATTTTCTTCTCCAAATGAGTTCGTTCCCACTTCCTCGTAGTCCTTCTCCAGTGCAGACAAGTCCTCTCGGGCCTCTGCAAACTCCCCTTCCTCCATGCCTTCACCAACATACCAGTGCACAAATGCCCTCTTGGCATACATCAGATCAAACTTGTGGTCCAGCCTTGCCCAGGCCTCAGCGATGGCTGTGGTGTTGCTTAGCATGCAGACGGCACGTTCCACTTGGGCCAGGTCTCCTCCGGGTGTTATTGTGGGAGGCTGATAATTGATTCCAACCTGGTAATAAGAACAAGAAAGATGGAGGAAAAAGAGTGAGGGAGAAAAGAGGATCCAGAGAGACAACAAAAGTCAAATAAACATGGTGGAAAAGTCAGAGTAGCCTCATACGTGGCTGGAAAGAGAGGGGTTAGGGGGCTGAAACCACAGTATTAAATTACCATAATGGCAAAAGTCATTCAGGTTGCCCTTTTTGGACTATTCATTTCTCAGCTATAACCCATGAGAACAAGGGAGAGCAACCAAAACTGGACATGAGGTCAGGGAGCACAGAGACATTATAATCATCATTACAATCATCTTTATTTTTTCCTTTTAATGCACACCAGCATCTTACTTGCTTTTTTTAACTGCTGCTGCTTACTGAGCCCACAGCTATTCTGTCTGAACTAATACAGTAAGTGTTTCCCCCTACAAATCTTCAAATCCAGAGCCCATTAATACGTATGAGAAAAATAGATTAATTTTTCCATCTATTGCTTTTGACAGCATTGGTCTGGAAATCAGGCCAGTCAGTGCTGTTGCATAGGCAGTAAGGGGAGCATACAATGTGTGGAGAACTATGTGAAACTGGAGGCTATTTAAAAAAAGAATGTTCACAGAGAAATGCTCCTAATGTTTCACTTACCAGAATTTATTCTCTTGTTTTTAACAAAATATATTACTAGTCTAGAGAACAGTCTCCCCATCTGCTAAACACTTTAACTCTTATAGAGTTGACATTTTCCAGACTGCCAGTTAGGTGACTGCTTAAGAGACTGTGTAAGTAGGATATGTTCATTCTCCAAAGGTGTCACTGAAGATTATATATGCACATACACACACACACATGCACACACACACTTCTAAGCATTCCTTTTTCTCACAAATGGGAAATGTTCAAGAGTTCAAATCACAATTTGGGTTGAACTACTTGACAGTGTCTCTTAATATACAGTACCAGTGTGTCTCTGTCCCTCTCACCTTGAAGCCTGTTGGACACCAGTCCACAAACTGGATAGTTCTCTTGGTCTTGATGGCAGCAATAGCTACGTTGACATCTTTGGGGACCACGTCACCGCGGTACAGCATGCAGCAGGCCATGTATTTTCCATGACGTGGATCACACTTCACCATCTGGTTGTTGGGTTCAAAGCAGGAACTGGTGATTTCCGCCACTGACAGCTGCTCGTGGTAAGCTCTCTCGGAGGAGATGATGGGTGCATATGTTACCAAGGGGAAGTGGATGCGAGGGTAAGGCACCAGATTGGTCTGAAACTCTGTCAGATCCACATTGAGGGCACCATCGAAGCGCAGAGAGGCAGTGATTGATGAGACTATCTGGCTGATGAGACGGTTAAGGTTGGTGTAAGTGGGGCGCTCAATGTCCAAGTTGCGACAGCAGATGTCATAGATGGCCTCGTTGTCCACCATGAAGGCACAGTCGGAATGCTCCAGGGTGGTGTGAGTGGTCAGGATGGAGTTGTACGGCTCCACTACGGCAGTGGAGACTTGCGGGGCTGGGTAGATGGCAAACTCCAGTTTGGACTTCTTGCCATAATCCAGGGAGAGGCGTTCCATCAACAAGGAGGTAAAGCCAGAGCCAGTGCCCCCACCAAAGCTGTGGAAAATCAGGAATCCCTGTAGCCCAGAACAGGCATCGGCCTGAAAAGCCAAACAGAGAACAAAAGGAATCAGTCTACATCTCTGAGACTTCCATGAGCGCATCCTGAGATTGAAGCTGGGACATTTATGTCCAAAACACAGCATAGAGATCAGCCCAGGTCTTCCTGGAAAAAGACTGGATAACAACCTCTTACATAATGGTGTGGGCTCCATAGGTATCACTACTGGTTTGCTGTTACAGTGATAAATGTGAAGTATTTAAGCTGCAGAAACCTACATCTTAGGCTTCTGTCTGAGTCTTCCATCCATCTGGGAACTGACCTACAATACAATCAATCTCTACTCTGAACCAATGACACTATTGGGAGCAAAACAAGAGCTGCCAATTGACATATATGTCCTATTCACCTACTCACCAACCCCAAATCTTGTTTCTGATGTACTATCACTTACCAGTTTACGGATACGATCTAATGCCAAGTCAATTCTGTCTTTGCCAATGGTGTAGTGACCACGGGCATAGTTATTAGCTGCATCTTCCTTTCCAGTGATCAGCTGTTCTGGATGGAAAAGCTGACGGTAAGTGCCAGTCCGCACTTCATCTGTCCAAGAAAGAGAAACCATAAGAAGCCTTGAATGGACACACTCCAATTGTGATGATTTTTGTTGAACTCCCCAAATAGTTGTTAATTGGCAGTGCTGTTTGTTGGCAGGCACGTAACATGGGAGACCAGGGTGTTAGAAATATCCTTGAGTTTGTACAAAAATGAAGGTATGTCACAGAGATGATGCTCTCTAAATTCTGAAGGGAGAAGTGACTGTTGCTTTATAAGCCAGTCTCTTTCTCTTAGCAGAATTAGCCAATTTATGGAATGACTTGTGCCTGGCCAGGAATGAAATCACCTGGCCAGAGGGCAAGTCATCAGAAAAGAGAGGAGATTTGCAGAAAAAAGGGATGGGAAATTCTCAGGAAACACCTATCACCACCAGCAGCTTCTCATGTCTCCAATCTGAACTACACCCAAATGGCAAAGGAAAATATCACCCCAAACAAGATCAGAGTTAGAGGATCTTATGAGGAGAGGTACTCTTAGCATACTTAGCAATGTTAACCTCCTGACTCAGCTGACAGCAAGGTGGGGCACTTATGGGAAAGTTTATTCAGTGTTCTCCCCTTCTCTCATCAGTAGACTTAATCTCCTTTGAGAGATGAGTGTTTATAACTGCCTGGCATTAAAAACTTTATCCCAGTTATGGGGTCATACTGAAATGCAAAGAAGGGACTGCCCCACCAATACGCTGGAGACAGCTAGACCCCAGCCCTGACCCACATAAGAGTAGGATCTTTTCCATTTTCCATTGTTAATTCTATACTGACCTACTACAGTTTGCTCCAAGTCTACCATAATAGCCCGTGGCACATGCTTTCCTGTGCCTGTCTCTCTGAAAAATGTGGCAAAGGAATCATCATTGTTGACCTTGTTGAACTGATTCTTGAAGGTACCATCTGGCTGAATGCCATGTTCCAGACAGAAAAGTTCCCAGCATGCATTGCCAATCTGAACTCCAGCCTGGCCAACATGAACAGAGATGCACTCACGCTGTAGGGAGAACAGAGCACAGGTCAGAAGAATTAATACACATCAACCCTTCTCCCTTCTGATAGTCACATATGCGTGTCATAGCTGCATTCAGAAATCCCAAACCAACCTCTGGTTTGGAGTCTCCAACCTCGCATACCCAACTGGAACTGGTGTGCACATGGACCCATGGAAATGGGGCCTAGCCTCTGTTCTCTGCCTGTAGTAGAAGTTCCAACTCTTATTTACAAATAGGATGGCGAATGTATTTTTCTGCAGAGCTACACAAGGACATAAATAGCAAATCACAAAGAAAAATGGAGATTTTCAGGCACTCACACACATACCTGTGTACACCAAATACATGCCCTCATGTATACGCATACATATAGGCACACAAACATGTATACACTGTGACAGATCCCAAATGAACAGCATGTGCAAGGTCCATTTATTTTTATTCTTGGCTGGGACCTGACACAGCATGCAGCATTTTCTAACTATATATAACTCAACAGGGGTGAGGTGTCTTCTGAGCCCTTAGCCCTCAACTGGGAGACTGGACTGGAGGATGGGAAAACTGCTTTCATCAGTGCCCAGCTCAAGGAGTTGTTGACTCAGCCTCATTCCCTTGGCACTTTAGTTTCACATGTGAAAGATCTTATCTCCTGAGAGCTCATACTCACACACTTACAGGTGTGCACCCTGCACGTTTAGACATGGCTGTGCTGTCAGTGTCATTGAAGCATATTTTGAGCAAGCACATGTATATATATTTAACTAATTTCCAAAGTGGTTATTGCCATGTCAGCAAGGCACTATAATTACGTAAACACAAAACAAAAATAATTAAATGCTAAACAAAATAAATGTCTCTTGCCCCGAAGGTTGCGCTATTGACCACCAATGAGTAAGAATTACAAAAAGCCCTTTGGGTGAGCACTGCTGCTGGATGAGGTATATTCAAACATAAGATATTTTAGCAAGCACTTCCTAGTCAGTCGTAGGGTATGTCTTCACTGCAGCGTGAACTTGTGCTATCTACACTTGAATTACTCCTCTGGAGTTAAACTAGCTCAAATGAGAGCAGCCACACTGTCAAACACCACTCAATCTCTTGTGTCCACGTTGATGCTCCACTCACTCGTATGGCATTAAAACTTCTGGAGGCATATCACATGGTTCTTTACAATGCTGCAAGCTGTGATGTAATATGATTTCTTTCTCAGTGAATTATGGTAGAACTTCTCTGTCCTGCTTGGGCACATGGTGGGGAATTCAAGTGGCGCTAGCCTGGGTCCACACAGCAGAGCAGTCATGGACGAGTTGTGCTAACTCAAGCTTATACTCCCTGACAGATTAGCCAACCTGAGCTAAAGGTACAACCATATTTTATAAAACCTTGTTGACCATGTCTCAGGTTTTCAAGAACCAAACCCAAAGCTAGGAGTGAAGCCTTGTTCTATTTTTATTTAAACACAAATAAGATTTTTGTTTTTGTTTTTAGTGAGTGAAAGAGTCAGATGAGGTAGGATTTCATTCTGTTTTCTGGCCCGTGTCTTCTCCTGCTGTTATAATGAGCACAGTCTGTAAATACACCTCTACCCCAATATAATGCTGTCCTCGGGAGCCAAAAAATCTTACCGCATTATAGGTGAAACCGCGTAATATTGAATTTGCTTTGATCCGCCGGAGCGTGCAGCCCCGCCCACCCGGAGCACTGCTTTACCTCGTTATATCCGAATTCGTGTTATATCGGGTCGCGTTATATCGGGGTAGAGGTGTAAGTTGAATATGCCAGCTCATTCATCAAAAAAGGAAAAACCTCTACCCAGTTCATATGAAGACAGGAGCTGTTTTCTGGTAAGCAACCTTCTTTCTATATCTTCTCACACAGCGGGGAGCTTGTTCTGGAGAGTTATTCATTTCATAATAGGACTTGTGCCTCATAAAGGCTGCAGATCTGCCTCCTTTTCCCCTAATCAGATCTTTTTCCTTTCCAGTGAATATCTTAACTCTACCTTTTGAATCAGCTCCCTGTGATGAATCCCAATGGCAGAGCAGATTTGCATGAAACCCTTTTCTTCGCTACACTTGCTACAATTTGGAAATGCTCTGACTGACACAGGAGAAATGCCAAGAGAAGCAAGAGATTTGAAATGGGGAGTTTCAAAGTAAATGGCTTTAAAATAAGTTACTGTTCCTTTAACAATGAAGAGAGTGGACCTTCCTCAGAGTCCCAGGGATAGTAAACTGATCTCTGTAGGATATTTAAATCCTGACCCTACTCCAAACTCGTCTAACAGTCTGGGGTTCACATTTGCTCTTATTAACTGTATCCGCACTACAGTACTAGAAGACCAGACCCTATACAGTTTGCAGACATTTAGAGCATAGTCTGATTTAGGCTTCATCTGTACTGAGGTAGAGTCTTATCTTCAAGGTAGCAGCTACCTTGTTGTTTTTCATATGTACTCACTACCATAAGTCCACACATGTTGTTAGATCCATCTAAGTAGATGGTGAAGCTGTGTGTGTGGTGGGGGATGGATCTCCAGAGCAAAGCCCTGTACTAGGAGAGAATTTAAATATAATTGTAGGGACCAAAATGAAAGGAAATTAATTGGAAATGTTTTCTTCCCATCATAGTTCTTCAGGAGTCCTATGGACAGAATATGCTATTGCTAATTGTAAGCATGAGCGTTTCCATGGAATAATGGCTAATTCAATTGTGCTTATTGAAGTGGGAGTAAAATGGGAGTGCTTCCGTTTATTTCAGTAGGCTTTGAATCAGGTCCTTTGACCATTTCTCTTTCAGACTATATGTTTTGGAGGGGTTGCTACCCTTCTCACACCCAGACTGGGCCTGATTCTCATTTATACTAAACCCCTTTTACCCCACTGTGGCAGGGTAAAATGGCCTTAAAGTGGGAATAAATTATGTTTACACCCACTTGAAGGCTGCTTTATACTGCCAGCACAGTGTAAAGGGATTTTAGTTTAGATGAGAATCAGAAGGATGAACGGGACATAAATGAGGAGTTAAGTTAAAAATAATCAGAAAAAAGTTTGTAAATTATGTTCCTGAAATTATGACCTCTTTTACATTTCGCATAGTTTTGTGTCATTTCTAGATTCCTATTATGAGAACCATTCTATGTTACTAAAGTAAAGACACAGAATCATAAACAGCAGGCACCTAAGAGGTGTAAGACCAAATTCCTCCTCTTTGTAATTCCACTGATGTAATGGTGTTCCACCCAGGATGAATTTGCCTCACTGTTTTTCCCAGCCTGTATTTGACACACTATAAATCTCATGTGCTTTCTGTGATAAATAGCACGAGTCTCTCCCTTGTCCTGTCAGTGAGGTCAGGGGTCTGTGACACAAACCACTGATGATCAGCAGGGGTATGATGTCATAACTAGGACTGTGGGCACCATTGAATGGGTGCTCACATCTTCTAATATGATCTAAATTTTCAAAAGTGGCTAATGATTTTGGATGCCTCTACTGTTGGGGTTACAAACTGAGACCCTTTAATGAGCTTGATTTTTCTGTGGGTGAGTATTCAGCCCTTTCTGAGACTCGGGCTTTGGTGATGTCTCATGTTGAGGACCCAACATCACTAGCCCCTTCTGAAAATGTATACTGTACATGTCCATGAACTATTTCTCTGCACCCTGAACTATCTCACCACTCTCCTGGATTTCCCTCTGTGTTGTCAAAAATAACAATACAATTTAGAAGTATAGTTTTTTTTCCCTTTAATCAGATGTAATTTTGTCAGTTTTAATCTGGATGTATTTATTACCTTGGTATTGCTTGAAGTTATGGATTGAATAAAAAAGTGACATGTACACATACCCTGTAAGAATCCAAATGTACTTAACATTGTCATTTTCTAGATTATAGGCATTTCATCGTGTGTCATCTGGATATATTGAGGGTACAGTGTACTTTTAAAAAATTATTAAGTTAAAAAAAGTTCACGCCTCAGTTAAAAATGCAAACCTTGCCAGCATGTTTTAAAGTATGTGTGTGTTGGAGGAAGAGGGGGATGGAAAAGGAAGTAGTAGTCCCTCCCCAAATAATATCTGCTTCTTCATCCCCTTTGCACCTGTGAGGGTTAGCTTCTCAAATCCAGCATTTCAGTTCCCCTGTTATGAGATGGAGCAGAATAAAAAGCCTCCACCTAGTGCATCACAGGGTCTGGGGCCAGGAGCATCCAAACCCTGTGCATGCCAGACTTGGTCCAATTATTGAAGAGTTGCAGAGGATTTAGTAAAGAGCTGCAAGAATTATTCCAGGACTGGAGGACACACCTTACAGTGGCAACTTGATCATGGCCTCTAAGTACCTACACAGGAAGAAGGTAACTGGTACTAACCAGAGGACTCTTCAATCTAGCTGTCAAAAGCGTAACAAGATAAAATTGCTGGAACCTGAAGTTAGAAAAATTCATACTGGAAATAAGGCATAAGTTGTTAAATGAGGGTCATTAAACATTGGAACACCTTAGCCAGGGGTGTAGTACATTCTCCCTCGCGCTAAGTCTTTAAATCAAAGCTGGATATCTTTCTAAAAAGTTTACTCAAGTTCAGTTGCAAATGATTTGGCTCGGTGCAGGAATTACTAGGTGAATTACTAGGTCTCTGCAGACCTTATAGTCTATCAATCAAAGACATCAATCTCTGGTCCCATTCACCTCCCTTCTCCCCCATCCCAGATTCCAAACACTGAAGCAAAAAGCAACCACAATCCTCTCCCTCTCACCCAGCTCCAGAGCAGGTAGTAGAGAGAATACAGTCTTGTGTCCTCACATTCCCAGAATACCTTGTTCCCTCCTTGAATGGGGAGTTGCTGCATTCATCCTTACCATGGTGCCTCTAGTGGTGCGGACTACCCTTTCGGATGAGAAGCAGCAGCTTTGGATAGTGATGTTTCCACTGCTGTATCACGCTAAGCAGCTTGATAGGAGGGAGCCCATGCCATGCATCCCACACCAGCTGGTGCCCTACAGCATCACAGTGCCAAGAGGAGGTCACAATCTCCCCAAGGCAACCCTCACTTTCCACCACCCCTTGCCTATTTGCATCACTAACCCCTATTTGCATCACACACATAAGACCACCCCCCTGTAACCAGATACACCCCAAATTCCATTCTCTCTCTCCAGGAATCCCCCACACTTATCCCCCCTGTACCCTGCATTCATTCTTGATGAATTTTTCCTTCCAACAAATCCTTTATACCAGAGCTGGTTGGAAGATTTTCAACTAAATATACTTTATCAGAATATGTTGTTTCATCAAAACTGAAACATTTCATGGAAATGTATCGATTTCAACAATTTTTTCATCAGGAAGGATTCTGAGGTCCAGGGTGGAGCGAGAGAGAAAGAGACCTGAACTGGAAACCTGACCTTTTCAATCTGAAAATGGACATTTCAACACAATTCTGTTTCATGAAAACTTTTGAAAGGTTTTTGTTCTCATTCCAATGAAGAATGAAAACAAATTTTGAAACCCCAAAAGTTTTTGCAAGACAGAATTGCCATTCTCTCGTCAGCTCTACTTTATACCTTTTTGATGGCGAGCGGCCCAATCTACAGTCCATGTATCCCACAGTGCTTCAAAGGAACTAGATAAACATAAAATAATATTATTACTATTGAACTTTAACTATTAGATAAAATAGTATTATTTTCACTTTATTCTGTATCTTTAATAATATTCTGACCACAAGCACCATTAGAGAGGTGTTTTCAATTCATCTTCATTCATTGAAATGCTTCTCTTCCTCAGAGCTGAAATGAATAAAGAAGTGTCCACTAATTTGGATCTCTTGGGTGCCCAACTTGAGAAACAGGGATTGATTTTCAGACATAAGCATCCACAACTGCCAAGTCAGTGGCAGCTGAGAGTGCTCAGTATCTCTGAAAATTAGGCACTTAGTATCTGAAGTGGACACCCAAAATTAGTAGTTGGGGGAGGGATAGCTCAGTGGTTTGAGCATTGGCCTGCTAAACCCAGGGTTGTGAGCTCAATCCTTGAGGGGGCCACTTGGGGATCTGGGGCAAAAATCAGTACTTGGTCCGGCTAGTGAAGGCAGCGGGTTGGACTCGATGACCTTTCAAGGTCCCTTCCAGTTCTAGGAGATGGGATATCTCCATTAATTAAATTAAATTAGTCATTTTTGTAAATTGGTTCCTGACTGATTTGTTCTCTAAAATGGTTGTGTTGGTTGCAAAAAGGCAAGCTGATACATCAAGCAGCATGGCTGAAAAAAGACACAGAAGATATAGGCAAAAGGTATGGAATTCCTTCTTAGCACCTATGAATTACCAAGTTATTTGTAAAGCCTATAAATATATTCAATTTTCCATCGTATACAACTTTATCCTTGCTAGAACATTTGGAAAGGAACCCGCCTTCAGGAATGTTTTCTTTTACTGCAGAATCTGTAACCAAGCGAGAACCTCGCTGAGTTATGTTGAAAACTAAAATGTTATTTCTGGAGTGATCTTACTTTACTGGAGTTGATTTGTTTAAAAATCATCATCAGACAACTGGGGCCAGATTCTGATCTCAATCACACCATTGTAAAGCCAGAGCAACTCCACTGAAGGCACTGGAGGTAATCCAGATTTGCAGCAGTGTAACCAAAATCAAAATCTGGCCAATGGTGTTTTGATGCTTTTGCTGAATATCCCTGGAAAACCCAGAATCTCTGTTGTGCACTCAGGATCATGAGCTCTAGAATACCAATCAGTCATGAATAGGGCACGTGTCCGTCATGGACGTTGCAGAAGTCACGGATTCTGTAACTTTCCCTGACTTCTGGAGCGGCCAGTGTGGCTGACCCGAGGGCTGCCAAAGCAGCTGGCTCCAGGGCCAGCTGCTCAAACAGCCCCAGGAATAACCCGAGCAGCGGCCCCTGGGGTGGACAGAGCAGCCGCTGCTCCAGCGGCCCCCAGCAGCAGTCCCTGGGGTGGCCGGAGCAGACTGTGCTCCAGCAGCCCCCGGCAGCTGGTGCCACTGCCCCCCCAGTAGCAGCCCTCTGGGGCACACCCCACCCAACAGTGGCCCCCCCAAGATTTAGTCAAGGGTATTTATAGTATATATCATGGACTGGTCACAGGCCGTGAAATTTTGTTTATTGTCTGTGACCTGTCCATGACTTTTACTAAAAATACCGTGACTGAATCATAGCCTTAGTCATGAAGCAGTACTTTTTTTTTTTTGTAGTCAGTGAAAGATAGGTTGATTGATATCTGCACTGGATCTTAAAACTCTTTGTTCTATGGACATGTTCTATTTTTAAAGGATTCATTAATACCAAGATATTTTCTGGCTTTTGTATTGCCGGACTTAGGAAAATGGCTGTTAAGTCTAAGCACCAACAACAATATAAACTTTGTAGACTGTATGTTACAAAATTCATCATGAACTTTTTTTCTGGTTTATTTCTACTGCCCTCAATTGTGATTATTAATTAATCAAATGGAAAGCAAAGGCATCAAACCATGAAGTGAATTGGGTAATTTTGTAAATTTTTTCATGCATGGGTGTGAACACTGAGTATCAATTAGCTTGAGATTAAACTGCAATACTGCTACATTTATAGAAAACTACGAGTGTTCCCTTCGGATGGCACTAGAAAAGAGGGCATTAAAAACAGACACAGAAATGAGGCTCTTAAAGACTTCACAAGACTTGTCAGAAGAAAACCTTGGTATCTTGGGATATGATTGTCAGAGGGGCTGAGCACCCACAGCAACTCTTTACTTCAGCTGGAAATCCGGGTGGTCATCACTTACAAAAAAGTCACACCTCTGGTCAAATTGTGAGCTGGGAAACTATATTCTTCCCATAAACTTCCCCCTTAGTTTCCCTTCAAGTGAATGTATCTTTCATTCCTGTGCTTAACTCTTGCACTATTACTGCAAGAAATTTCAATTGGTATTCTATTAACAGTGCAGTTAATCACAATTAACTTTTTTGAGTTAATTGCGATTGACAGCCCTGCTTGTTACTAACTTTCCAAACTTTCCATATAGTTAAAACTCATTAAGTGGTGAATATGCCGCACATAAAGAAATGTGTTTGTAATTAAGCAAAATTAACAACAATTATTATAATTATAGTCAAGGCAATGTCAATTGCTGAGCTCATTTTTATGTTGTGTATCGGCCAGTTTTCACTGGCAATATTAAAGTGCTGCCACGGCAGTGCTTTAACGTGGCTTGTGTAGTCGCAGCTACTAGTGCTGGGAGTGTGGCTCCCAGGCCTGGTGCACTGTCTATACTGGAACATTACAGCGCAGAAACTTGCAGCGCTCAGGGGCGTGTTTTTTCACACCCCTGAGCGAGAAAGTTGCAGCGCTGTAAAGTGCCAAGTAAACAAGCTCTAAGGTCCAGATATTCAATGAGTGTTAGGTACCTAAATTCCTTTGAGGATCTGGGCTTATGTGACATCAGAGGTAACTGGAGGGGAATGATGGTGATTGAGTTATTTAGCGTGTTGTAAATTCTACTGATTGAAATGTGTCAGTGAAGGGAAGGAGACATGTATGAAGAGATCTCAGTGGTAGATTATTTGATCACCTGTGCACAACAAAAAGTCACCAGGCTTCATCCTCCTCCTGGCTACAGCTCCAAAGGCTCCACTTCGAAGCAGTTGAGTATAGATGCTGCTGTACTTCTCCCCTGGCATTTTTCAATTCCCTGTAGGGAATATGTGTCAATATAATCTTCAACCTCCTACAACAGGAAGTCAGATAGCAGTAGAATCATCTCCAACTCCTATGCCTGGAGATAATCAGCAAAAAGTGCAAACACCCCTCCCCACTACAGCAAGGGTTTGGTGGCAGAAGTATCACATCTACAGAAGGTATGTATGGTGGCATCTTCCCCTATGGTAACAAGCTCTTTGATTGTGGTACGGGATAGGGGAAAATGATGAAACTACAGATGAAGAATTATTGAATACTTTACTCTTTGTTGCATGTTTCTGTAAATTCTTGGCCACTTAAGTATATACAAACATACATAAATCATGAATAGACAAATACTGCTTCATATTAAAAAGTTTAACATATGAACAATATATGTTGCATCTTTAATTGAAAGCATCTGGGAAGATATGCAAAAAAATATTCAATTCTCTGATCCATTATATGAAAATACATGCATTAGTGTTTGCAGGGTCACAGCTTATGAGCAGACTTAGTTGGGTAATTAGTCCCATAGAACTGAATGGTACTACTCACCTAATTAAAGCATGTGTTTGCAGAATCAGGGCCAGTGTTTGAGGTGAAACATATTTCCAATGTGTTTCATTGGAAATATTTACTGAATGTAAATATTTTTAATAATATATGCCAGTGTTGTGAAAGACTGTTTTGTGACCAGCCCGACTGAGCATCACAGTATAACGGACTACATAATTTTCAGAATAAAAATTACTAAAGTATTTAAAATTAAATGAATAAAACCATTAGAATTGCATAACTGATATTTTTCTGTTTCTACCATCCTTTGTCTCATTATGTGCTAAACACAATGAAAAACATTCAAATTAAAAAACAGTACTAGGAGAAATTTGAGGTGGCTAATCTATGTATCACTCACACATATTAAAAAGATCCATGGAAATGAACAGTTAAGACATTATCAAGCAACCTCTAAGCAGAAATCGAGAATATCGTGCATACTCCTCACAGAACACAATCCCAATATCACAAGCATGGCTACAATCAGAAATTTGCAACAATGAGCCAGAGGAAATGTGAACTGCCACCTAGCTAACGGCAGAAAGACAGACTACATACAATCAGTAAGCAGAATTTGACACCCTCAGATACCTCTGTAACTAGGTCATAAAGCTATGTACATAGATAGATCCTGCAATATAGGAGACTGGGAAGTACAAACTAGTCATTCTTAGAAGAGTTACAGAGAGGACTTGTCTAAGTTGTGTGGCAGTGCACTCTACAGGGGTGTGATTTCTAAAGTTCACTAACGTGTTGCACACTTATCAGACCATGCAGACCCTGCTGGTGTGTACCAGAAGTTCCTTGTTGCACTTTAACGTAGTACTATTTGAAACAGAACTATGTTAAAGCATGATAGGGAACTTTTAGTGCATACCAGGAGGGACTACACGGACCAATTAATGCGCAAGCTAGTGCATTTTAGAAATCACGGCCCCATTGCCACACCATGTAGACAAGCCCAGAACCTTTCTCCTTAGAGTCTTGATATGATTATTTTATTCTGAAAGTCTTTGAAATGATGAATCAGTGACTGAGCTCATGGAGATATAATGGCGATAGGTGCATTACAGATGCATGTAAATCATAACATGAAGCTCCAAAATGTGTAAGGTCTTCAAGGCTTTGTCTTAACTGCCTACCATGTTTTTCACAGCAAGACAAATGCACAATAGTTATCTCACTGTAATATCCTAGTGGAGACAAGCTTCCTGTACTTTCTTCTGAGTGAAAGGTAGGCAAAGTTAATAATATTACCACCCCCCACTGCATCATTGACCTTGCCTGGTTTACCTCTCAGTAAAACTACAGAGCCTTGTTTCCACTAGGATTTCACAGGATAGTTCATGTTAGTTATGCCAGAGAAAAACAGGTGTGTTGTTTAGCAGTGAAGACGGAACCTCAGACTCTCTTAAAAGAGGAGGAACCGCTAACAAACCATAGTAGTGCATTCAGCCAGCTGTTGTGATACCTGTGTGCTGCTGCCATTTTTGAAAGATTAGAAATAGCCCCCACAGCACTGTATGGTTACTGCAAAGGCAGAAGGCCGTGTGGGATGTTTCATAGAGGACTCATGTTATAGAACACTGCACAAGGATCTGCACTGGATGCCTCTTGGTTATCAGGGAGGTGGGGAGTTCAGGTGTGGTTTGGGACTTGTCTACCTGAATAATCACTTATCTCCCTGTTTTATACTGTTAAAGCTACAATCAGCTGAGGCAGTTGAGCTGTGAAGCCAACTTGGTATAGGGGCGGGAACTGCTGGCAAAGTGTTCTCCA